GTTGTAATCTTTGGTGTTGTTCATTTTTACAAAAAATGTACCCAACTGGTTAAAGTTTAGCAGAACTGTCTCAAAAGTTTAGTTGAGGATAGTTTAGGTTTAAGAAAATGCAAACAGAATTTTTCAATCAGTATTGCAGCTTTAACAGTTTTCCTAAAGCTCAAACCCAAACCTGAATGACGTTTATTTATCTTTTTTCACTGTTGCTTTATTTGGAGCCTAAAAATGACTTGTGTTCAGGAACTCTACTTTATGTTTTTAAAACGATCTTCAATTCTTTAATCACAAAAACAACTCGACACTCTGAGACTGAGAGGAGAAAACATGTTTCCAATAAATAGAATCCACCAATCAAGATAAATGCATCACTATTAGATGATTTCAAACATTTAAATGAGTGCTGACGGGCGTCTTTACCCTTTTCGCCGAAATGGCAAGACATTTGAGCTTTTATTTCCCTGAATGGAGTCAGCGGTGTTGACCTTTTAACTCCAAGGTCCCTGTATGAGTCTCTGTCCCCCTCCCTCAGGGTAGACTTACCCTTTGACAGAGGATCAGCAGTAATGCTGCTCCTCAACATAACACTCAGCGCAGACAACAGGAACATGAGCCGTGCTGCAGAGCTGAGCCGTGCACCTGTCTTGTAACGCAGACTGAAGGAAAGACACTTTAAAATGTTTTCGATGAATTTGGTTTGAGTTTCAGAGTTCGCCCCGTGGGGACAGGAAGCCTGTTTAACTTCAAGTGACAACATTTGTGATAATCCCAGGTTTAAGTATTAGAAAAAAAACATGTAGAATGCTGTTATTTAAATGCAGAAGACATGAGACTGTGTAATTTCAGTGGAAATGATGAATAAGCACAAATATCTGTGAATATTTAAAATGACTTTTGGATTGTGGCAACAAATCTTTTGCTTTTCAGGTTTAAATCGTTTGGTGAACCTGACTGTTCTCTAATCCTTCAAACAAACCAGTGTGAAGTTCAAGGGGCCATTACGAGAATTAATTTGTGTTTCAAAAAAGTGAAAAAAAAAACATTTTGATACATGACTCTGCTTTACCCATTTTATTCTGAAGTATTTCAGATTGATCACTCACTCATCGTGTTTCTCCTGCTTCCAGTTTTGCTCTTTGACAGACTTATTAGAAACATGATGTGTCAGGGTGTGTTTAGAGCCTACATTAGATCAGGTTTCTCTGTGTACATCACACCATCTGAGTGATGTGGCACTCTGGCCAGCAGGCCTCCTCTGGAGACCCTGGAGGACCCCCACCCCCTCCTCCTCACCTCTCACTTTTCGGCCTCAACTCTTCTCTCCTTCTTTCTCATCCTTCTTTGATCTTCATGCAGTCTGGCGTGCCCTTTGCTTTGTAAAGCCTGCTGGCCTGCTCCACTGCGTGACCTCCCCTCTGCCCCACTACACTGCAGAGAAACACAGTTACGCCACACAGATTCATATCAGCAGCCTTCGCTCCGGGAGACAGCTGCATCAAATTGAGCATGGTTCTCCAGTTGGCGCTGGTGAGAGTTTCTCTTCCTGTTGCTCTGTGATACCAGGCCTGTAGGCAGGGAGACTCGTCAGGATGTCTTTCTTGCTTTTTTCAAAAGATAACAGACGTGCTTTGTAAGGTAGAAGTGAAGCTAAATTGCATCATTTCTAAAATGCAAATTGAGCCTCTGTTAATATAGGCCTACAATTTGCATCGATTCACCGATTGCCTCACAATGACAAATTTCTTAAGCTCTGTTGCTTTAAAATTAATGAACATTAAAACAATTTGACTTAATTTATTCATATTGTTGGTACTGAGACAGACAAGCAGTGACAGGAAGACGTGTCACTATTTTGGACATTTTATAGATCCAATTTATGAAAGCCGTTAGGTGTGGATATTAGAGAAGTAAATGTAGTGCAAAACTCATAATACTTGTCAAAATATGCCAAACACTGATTTAATTAATAATAATTTGTGTTGTTTGAAATATGAGCAATAATATATTTCCTGAAACTTTTAAATCAAACATGAAGAGTCTGTAAAAACGTTACACTCACCTTCAGTTTATATGGCTCCCTCTAGAGGTGAGCAGTGTGTAGTACATGTTTCTAAAGTTGTAGTTTCAGATGTTTGGCATCAGCAAACCTGTTGGGGTAACAGTTCTTGCACAAAAAGTTAGTGATGTAAAAACTCTGCGCTTCAACAATTTATCACTCCGTCAACGAAAACTGAGTTTATATTCTGCCTGGACACATTTAAAGAGTTACAATCAAAAGTGCAATTCTCTGTAAATTACACTTCCAGAAATATCATTGTTTTAGCTTGTTTAAAGTAAAACTGATGGAGTATTTTCACTCAGTATTTTGCCACATTTGATCTAATGTCATCATTGAGCTTTCTAGCAAAATCCCATAGCATGCATGATTTTCCTCAGAAGCCATAGGCCGCCTGTGATAGCTCTGGCATTAATAATTCACTGTACAAATAAGTTGATGCTGCAGAGTTTGTTCTCATTGACATTAGCCGAGGTGAGCATTCTTGGCCAGACTTTGTGACGCCAACAGACCGGCATAAAGTGGGCTTTAATTGCCCATAATCTCTGTCGTTCTCTTTCCGCTCGGTGCAAGTCAACAGCATTTCGGCTGTGAATGCCAGAACTCTGAGGCACTTTTAGCTCCCTAACAGCTTGAGCCTCACAACAATGCTTGGAAGAGATTTTCAGCTCTGGGCTTAAAGCGCTTGAGTCAATTTGGAGGATTTTTTTTACATTCATACTCATTGTACTGGAGTTGAAAGTCAGCACATTCATATTTGTGTTCAGAAGTAAAGAGCTTTGCTCTTTGGGTACAAAGTTTTTCTTCTCAAGACAAACTTTTATTGTAGCTCTTTGGAAAGATGCAACATTAACACTGGATTCAAATCAAACCACACCTGCTTTATGGATCATTTTTCTACATAAATTTGATTTAAATTTATATATCAAATAATGAACACTGGAGGTATTTCAAGGTACATTGAAATGTGGGTCCACACTCAGTGTAAACAAACTACATTCTGCAACAAGTCTAGTGAATGTGTTGTCCTATTTTTCAAACCTCAGTGGCTCTTATGTGTCCGTCATCATGCAGTCACTTCAGATGTATCTGTAAATAAACAAGTGCAGATTGTTGCAGCCGGTCTCACTCTTTGCTTGCAGATTTTTAGACACAACAAGCATCAATATGAGGAAAATAAACTCTACAGACTTTGTTTCTGATTATTTTTCAAGGTCTTAATTGCAATGAGCACATTTAATTAGTTTGTCTATAACATGAAATATTAAATTTCTCTTGTTCCATTTGACAATCTTAGGTCATAAAAAGCTAAGATTAATGTTTTACAGGAATATTCAGGTCTATAAAATGCATTTAGTCTATAGATCATTTGTTTCACCACAGGCAATCAGAAAAACTCACTAAAAGTTCCATCACTCTTGCATTTTGCTTGTTCTTGCACCTTTATTGTTATATTATAATGTTGTTACAAGTTTTTATGTTTTGAAACTGTTTCAGTGATGCAATAGCTTTATGAAAGACACTTTTGCGAGAGAGATTCTCTTTCTTATTAAATAACAGTTTAATTAAATAAATAAGTGTAATTAAAAGGAAACGTCTGACTGTAATGGAAGTTCACACCAAGGTTTTTTATTAAAACAGTAAAGATTTTTTATGTGTTTTATTTTAGCTCATTATTGGACTCAGTTAGAGATGCTTTGCAAATAAATGTTTTACAGAAAAAGTTCACACATTTATTTCCTAATGTTCATTTTCAATATACAGTATTTGTAGACATGACCTAATATTAAAAGCAAAGCTTAATTATTTTTACTTGCCTTAAAATAGTCAGTTAAAGCAGAGAA